AATTTAACTGACACTGTCCACTTGATTTTTTTACATATTCCTAAGGCCTTAAGCTTTAGTGCAGGCATCATTTGATGTTTTGTGACACTTCTGTAACTGATTATGGCAGCAGTTTAAGAAACAATAAGGAAGCCCTCAGTGTTAAAATCTCAGAAGAGAATATCCTGGATGAAACTTTGAGAAAGAAAAGAGAAAAAATAGGTATCTGAGCACTCGGAAGTTTGGCCAGTAGACCTGGTAAGGAAATGGTGCTTTCCCCAAAGAAAACTAGGCAGCTTATTCACATGGGAGCGATAGATAAACAAGGGTTCATTTGTTTTGGTTTTGTTTTTTTTTTCTGTGTAGAGCAAAAGGGACAAGTAGCTCTTGTGTCATAAGCAATTGTGGCAAAGAAGTTTCCTCATGTGCTTGCTTTCCATTTCTCTCCTCTGTTTTTATATTTTGGACCAGGTACACCATAGATCTGTGTCAACGTAATGATGGATGGGAAGAAAAATCAGTAGACTGGACTTGTGTCATATGATGTTGTAGGTGCTCTGTACTTTCCAGGAAGGATCCGATCCTAATGAAAGATTCCACATACAGAGTCCTTTTGGTTTATAATCAGGTAGATCTGGATAGTCTTCAGATCAATTACAATTCTCCTGGGAAATACCGAAAATGGAAATTCGGGATAGTGTCTTTTCTCCTACCACCCTTATTCTTGCTGTGACTTTGAGCAGTGCATGAAGTCTCAGTGGCTGTGCTAAAGGATATAAGGTTAAACAAGTGTCTTTCCTATGGACATAAATTAATGATCTTGTGAATACTGCATTTTAATGCAGATAACACATTCTTACTTTTTTAAATTATGCATTCTGTAAATGTGTTCTGGTGTCTGTGGAAAACGTATAGTGCATTTTTGCCGTGAGTTAGATTTTCATGTATCTTTTATAGGGAGTATGGTTAAATTTTCCAGTCTTTTATATTTGCAAAAATCCATTTTATTGGAGCCTAAGTCCATTTCAATGACTCTGTACTTCCATGCTTTGCACCTTCACTTAGCCTTCTGGGTAACATACATTATGTTATTTTAGAGTTCAAGCTGGTTAGCTCATATGCAAGTTTTGTGGCATTGGGTTCCATTTACTGAATGTTTTAAAGTTTTCTCTGCAATAATAGGGCTTGTTTTTCAAATATACAAACTGACTGATGCATGTAATCACCTGACTGAAATAGCTAAGGCTTTGTGGAAAACACTAATTACCACAATGAACCAGAAGATCTGGCCAGACTGAAGTCAAGCTTTATGCATTTGAGTCTTTGTTCAGGACAGTGAGGATAAAGAAATTTTCTCTAACTCCTTTCTTCTTATGATATTTTTGTTGTACATGTATGCAGCCCTAAGACTATAAATTACATTGCCATCTCTTCTGTGAGCTAAATTTCTTGGGATCCTTCAAAATTTACAGAGTAAATGCAGTGGGCCTGGTAAATTCAGGAGGAGAGTGTGAATTCAAGGGCATGCAAAGGAAACTTGGAATTCTGCATTTGCCTCACTGGGTTTCACCGCTGAGTTTGGACTAAGAACTCGGCTACACTCACTTAAAATGAATGTTTTATAATATGTCTATTAGCTATGTGATAAGATATAAAGGAGTGAGTGGCCTTTAATTTGCAGTGTCATTACCTTGAATTTTTTGCAATGATAAACTTTCAGGCATGGACGCTTATAATACTTCCACAAAACAATGAAGAAACTATACACCAAATGTGTAAGTCATCTTCTAGATACTTAAAAATAGTTAGAGGAGCTGACAAGGGCACCTTATTTGAAAAAGTTACCAGAAATTTTGCTGTAGCTCTCTTGAAATTATCTCCAGCCCTTTGCATTATTGCATTCCTAGTTTGACTATGAATCATGATTTTAGTCTTTATGATAACATTAAATTGTATGTGATGAACATGGAGAACTCCAGAATCAAGAAAAGCATTCAATTATTCAAATATCTTTGAATTACATGTAGAATAAGAATTACGTAATTATGTTTTAGTACCTTTTTGGTCCCTTTAGCTACCAGTTTGATGTTGAAGGGCGATTAAGGGAGGGAGACAAAAAGGGAAAGAAAGAGATTACATTCTCCCCAACATGAAGTTGACCCCCAACTTGACCAAAGCACATCATGTAATTCATTTTAGTCATTAATTGAATCAAAAGTGTTGCCCTGAGTGTCATTTTGTGCTTCACAAAGTTTGGTACTTTGACCACATGTAAAATCAAAGCAGCCTCAGCCTATTTAGATGGAGCTCAAGAACCAGGAAGTACACTTTTCCTTCTCAGATAAATCTCTTCAGCCTTGGAGACTGTGCCCATTAGTGGCTGTAGAAGCAGAACACAGGACCCTCTTACTCTCTGCATGGTTAGAGGGCAGGCACTTGATAAATGAATGGCAAGCCTATGTCAGCTTCAGAGAGGGAAACAGAAGATCCAGAGGAAGAGCAATGAAAACAGAGACTGTCAGGGGAAGCTACTGAAAGATTAATTGTAGTTTTTCAGTGCTTATTTTGGATGATTTTGTTCATTTCTTTGTTTTTTATACAGCTGGATTCCTGTAGTAATACGTCAGGTTTTCCACCTTTTTCTTTAAGAATTAATTTTAAGAGACTATCAAAAATACACCTGGGTGAATCATGTCTCCTTTCATGAATGTAGTTTAGCTTTCAGACTGTGTATGTGTCAGAAGAAGTTGTGTCAGTGGAAGAACTCTTTTCATCAAAAGATGGCACAGTGGTCCTTGCATGTCTGTTGTCTAGTTCATTGATCTGACTTTCTTAAGTTTAAAATTTACACATCTGAGAATCTTTCTGCACCTCACAATATAGAAACCTTCAAAGATTGAGTTGATGTTTCCTTCATGGGTTTAAACCTCTCAGCATGACCAGCATTTTGTAGGAGTGTGGAGGAGGAGAACAGAGGCTGATTCTTACTAACAATGATGAACCCATCTCCGTGGTTCAGCTTTGAAACCCTTGGACTTTGGGAAACTTCAGAGCCAAACCTGCCTGCTCACATTCTTCCACCAAATAAAAATTAATGTTATGTTTCAAAACAGTGCTGGAAGCTGATAGAAGAGCTTGCTCTGTTAATGGTCATTATTTGATTCCTTCTGACTCTGCTCATTTATTAGAGGAGATGAAATTTAGTTAAGATTTAGTCTCAACCTGTCTGTAATTTACATAGAGGTTCTAGCAAACTTTACTAATATGCAGAGTTCACAGGAATAGTCCAGTTTTCCCTGTAGTTTTCTCTGCTTGGCTTTCATCCTGGCTGTTAGGTAAAATTAAGGTCCAGAAAATCGGATTATTACATCCCAAGGGACAGGACTGATAAGCAGCACATGATGGTTGATCTGCTTGCTACCCAGGGCTGGTGGTGTTTGAGGTGCTGCTAGACGCAAAGCCAATTTGTTAACAATTAGTGCTCATTAGAATCATTTCCTGTTATCGATTTTAAATGTTTGACAAAGCACTTTTAGGAAACTGCACCCAAAAAAATAAATAGTAGCTGTACATCAGTGCGTAGTAATTACAGCTCTTTAGGGCCCAGTGTCAATCTTAACTAACTGGTTTCATTGGTTTTCAAGTAATTATTTCTGCTTTGGATCCCACCTGCTATCCTCTCCAGATTAAAGATGCTTTGAAACAAGGGCATAGTTCTTGATTAGCAGAGTTGCTGAGAAAGGAGTGATAAAACAAAAGCAACTTTTTTATTTTCTGACTCAGTTTGTCATGGCTTGGGCTTTTTGTCTTGCATAACTACCAATGGATTCTATGATATACAATATAGGAATTAGAGTCAGCCTGGAATTAAGTGTGATTTCCATTGGCCTTAACATTTAACATGTGGGTTTAATTTTAAATGCATCCTTGGCTTTATACACACATTGAGAATTGTGGAGCCATTAAAATCTAATTTACAAATGGTAAAATTAGATATAATGGCGTGTTATAATAAAAGCTTTGATATCTAGGAGTCCAAGAGTGTATATCTGTTGAGTTTCTTAGAAATTGGGTCTATAATTGCTATTAATCTGTTTTACATGCCATAGGAGACTTGAATGTGAGATTATTTAATAAAGAGTTTCATGTGCATATGTATGTAAAAAGCACCAGATCAGGCACACATGGATTTTCACATATACTGGATGTGTATGATGAGTTGTTATAGATTCATAGGTTTTATGAGTACAATGGAATTTTGGCTAAATTTGGCAGTGTCAAAGGTGAAGCTCGCAGGATAGCCATCTGGGTTAATTTTCTCTCCTTCCTTTTTGCTTTAAATTTTTAGCCACGTCAGCTCAGGTTTCGCAGGCAGTCTCCTAAAATGCTTGCAGATATTTTAAATGTATTCCGTGATCCCTGTTGCACAAGGTGGAGACCTAACATAAGACTTGACTTGTGCCTTTTCCACCCCCATTCATGAATTAGCCTCACAATTACTGTAAAAATTAAGGCGAATGCAGGTGAAATACATACATGAGGCTTAGTCCCTCTAACCTTAATAAACAGAGATGGTATTGACACAAGTGAATTTTGTTTAACCACAGTACATTTGCTTCTTAATTAGTGAATATTCATCTGTCATCAGCAGCAGCTATGACACCCCTCCCCGCTAACATGTTCTGTCATAAATAATCAATGAGAGGCTATTAATATTCATGAGCGAAAATCTGTGTAGTCATGTGCACTGATGCGGAGACAGGGGGAGTGTTGCCATGAACTGAGTCGAAACTCTGTGTGTGTATACGTGAGTGTAAGATAGTTAGGGAAAGGGAAGAAGAGCATGCTGCTACACACTGCCCTGCCGTATGCTTCCAGCTAACAGTGGTGTGTGCCTGTGTTTCCGGGCTGGAGTGACTGATGAGAAACAGTAGTCAAGTCCGGAGGGTGATTCCCTGTCAGTGCATTTGCCTTGAAGTGCTGGGGAAATTAGAGGCTTTGCTCCTGTGTTGCTTATTAGGATGGGCTGCAATCTGTGCACTTTTCAGAAGAGAGAGGAGCACTACAAACTGCTCTATGAAGTTTCACAGGTGAGTGCAGAGGGTATTACCAGCATCTTCAGGGTAAAAAATGTGTGTTCTTGGCAGAGAGTAAGTAGAGATGCTTTTGTTTTGCTTTGCTTTTTCTTTCCTTTGCAAAATTGCTAGCTAAGTTGGGGAGGGGGGGTGTTTGGTAATTATTAGTATTTTGGGTGCCTGTTGTTTTCTGCTCGTTTGCCACTCCCCCTTCAGATGACTTCCTGTGTTCCTTCTTTTAACATTTTTGTGCATCTTCTGCCAAGATGTCAGTCATATAGCGGCAGTCTCACTGAACCATATCGGTGCTGTTTTGAGGGAGCCCTTGGCTTTGGTAGTAAGGCTGATTTCAGAGGAGTTGCACTGCTACCTCTGAAAGCATTAGGTCTGTGATATCATGTATTTCTGAGTTAAGGAACAAAGTTTTTGTGGCATGTCTGTGCTGGCCAAGAAGTATGTTACATTTTCAGATTGATTTAAATTGAAATGATGCTGAGACGTGCTTGTCACCTTTAAACAGGTACCGAGTACAACAGGGTTTCCACGGGTGATGTGTGCTGCTAGCGCATTCATTGTGTGTGTGGTTTATTTCTGTTTGCTACTAGACAAAGATTTTAATCCCATCTAGATATTTTGGTGTCTCTTTCAGCATTCGTTGCAGCGTGAGTAGCAGTGTAGCAGTGTGCTGCTGATGTGTTCCCAGCTCCTTCAGAATAAGATGAGAAAAGACGAAACAAGCACTTGCCATAATAGCCCATAATTTTTGCTCAGATCCCATTGAATCAGTATTTGATTTGCAGCTTTTTGTTTGTTTTTCCCTCTTGGCACAGCAGACCCTTGCATACTAAAGTTTAGTGCTTTTCAGCATCTGTTCCCTCCCTCCCTATAATTTGTCCTGGCGTTGACACATTGCCGTTGATGGGGGCTGAACACTCGCAGTTTTGGACCGTGTTGCTGCTGACAGGCAACGCGAAGGAGAAAAAAACAGCTTACGGTGTTGGTGGTCTATTGGCACAGCAGCAGCTAAGTGCCCATTGCCGACTGGTTGCCTCTGAGTTCCTCCTGACGTGATTCATTTCACAGTGGGCTAATTACAAAGTGGATTCTCTACACATGAAGCAGCCCCCTCAGTTGCGGTGTTAATGCACATTTTCATGGTAATGTGATCAGAGCCTCATTAGCCAGTTTCCAAAATGATCCTCTGCATTAATTAAATATAAAAATGACTCTTTTTATCACCACAGAGAGGAAGAAGAAGATTAACATTGTTAATTACTACTGGGGGCAATACCTCTGCATCATTTTTTACTACAGAACCAGCAGGCATATTCAATCCTAGAAGAGTGTCCGTTTGCAGGTAACCTGCCCGTTGCCTTGCCTGATGAAGATGGGCTCTAGGTGGAACACTTCCCTCTAGTTCAATAGTTAGTCGTAATCCCATCATCATATTTTCTTACAGCAATAGCCCAGGGGAATGCACAGCAGCACATTTCCCTCTTCTCCCTTTCCCTCTCCTCAGCTCTAGATTGCCAAAATGATCTAAAAGTGTAAAACGGAGAGAGTGGAGTAGGATGGTGTCTGTTTTTCTGTGCCAGGGAATAAGAAATGCAGGTTGTGCTGTGAAGGGGATTAGACATTTCTTAGGGGGCTGCATAAAACAGAGGCTGTGCCTGGTTTAGAGCAAATGCATTTTCAAAATATTCCTTGCAGTAATGTTGCATAGTAATAAATGCTACTGAAATGATCAGCAAAGCCAAAGGTGGGGGTTTTGAGAGAATCTAGAGAAATTCTTCCCTTTATCTGTTATCTTCCCTGCTGTTGAGTTGGAGTGTCCATGGATATGAAGAACCAGTGTGCAAAATGAACTAATGCGTTCACTTTTTAGTCTGGTGCTTGCCAGATAAAGTGTAATCCCTGGGAGGATCTGAGCTCGTTTCCTTGGGGAGCTGAAATGCAGAGAGCCTGGTGCTGCATCTTGTGCTGTTAGGGAAATGTCACTGATAAGGTGCAGAAGGAGAGCAGAAAAATGACTTAGTGTGCTCGCTGCCAGATCCTGTGTTCATCTGTAAACTCATCCCTATCTTTATTTCAGTATATGCAGGTCAGAGCCCAAATGATATTGAGCATATTTTTAACCAGGTGCTACAGTAGAGATGAGGTAGTATCTCACCCCATAACTGCTTCTCTGTACAATTCAGATCTGCTACTGTGGGGTGAGGGAGCAGCAGTAGAATGTGATAAATTAAATTAAGCCAAGGCAGGCATTGCTACTTGATTTGCAAATCCCTTTTTAACTCTCCAGTCCTATAATTCCTATACCACAGCACTGGCTCTTTCATCTGCATGATTTCTGGAGAGCTTGGGACAAGTTAGCCTGTCAGGGACATGAATTGACTGAGGATGAGCTGTGGCTCACTAGCATATGTGGATCAGATAGATTAATTTATATTCATATGAGGAAGCAATCCTAGCCTCATCTCCCACCTTTCCCATGCTAGACTACCTGATACTGTGAGTGGTCTGTGCAGTCATTTACTTAAAAATACAGCAAACAAAGTAAAGCGTGTTTGCAGAGAAAAGCCTTGCAAGCACTTACAGTGAGGTATGTTTTCTGCTACTGTTTGTAGTGAGGTCAGATTCAGCACCAGAGAGCTTTTCGTTGTCGAGCTGCTGAGAAATGAAGACATCGTTAGAATATGTATAATTCCTCACTCTTCAGCCCACCCCCTTCCTCCAGACTCGTCTGCCTTTCATTGAGATAGATAGCACTTCAGAGACGATGGAGGCCCTCTCCAAAAAGAGCATATCCTTGTGTGACAGACACTTTCGTTTTGATAACTGTGTCTTGCACTTAGAGATGGGGATTAAAACAAAAAGTCAAATAGTCGTGTTTTAGAACTGAAAGCTGTTAAGATACCACTACGCATTGGTGAAGGACTCTTGTGCTTCTGAGTGCCTCTTCACCTGTACTCAGGATGTGGAGATGGCTCAGCTTTACTTCTTGACATCACTGTGAGACAATATCAAGTGTAGCACCGCCCTAGGTCCTCATTTCCCCATGCTTACCAGTGGAGAAGTGGAAGATGACTCAATTTGTAATTTATGGCCCTGCATGCTCCTTCATGGGGCACTTTGTTATCATTTCCTGTGTGCTGTATAAGCAGGACTGAGCTAATGAGTGTGCAGCCAGGAAGCCTACGTCAAGTCACTTAGAGAAGGTGGTACCTGGTATGTGCTCATGTCCATTTGGAGCAGACCTCTGCCTTTCTCAGCTGATTTTCTCTTGCACTGCTGGGGTGAAAGAAGAGAGTTTAAGTCGCTTGTTAGCTGCATGACGAGGACTCTTTCCATTTAAGGGAAAGGTTAAGAGAAATATGGCAAGAATTGGAGGGAATGAAACTGAAGCACCACCTAATCAGTCATCATCAGTGATCTTCAATAGCCTTGTGTGAGAATCAAGGAAATGCAAAATTTTCACAGAATTCTGTGGATGTCATATAGAAGTTGTTTCTGTTTGCTGGAATTGTTATCCTTTGTTTTCAAAATTTGCAGTTAACCCAGAGGAAAAGAAAGGAGGGAGAGAGAGAACACAGTACTTTTGGAGGTCAACCAAAGACCGATGTGAACTTCTTTTTTGAGTTACATGTTAAGAAGCAGACCTGACTCAGGTGAGCTTAGAAGTAAAAAGGTAGAAAGGAGAAAAGCTGGAAGGGAAAATAGAGACAATCTGGGATGACTCACAAAGTCAGTGGTGGAGCTGGGATTAAGACTAGAAGGTTGCACATTTATATTTTACGTTTGACCTGACATGATAGTAGAGCCTGCTTGCAGCATTTTTAAATCCTCTGAAGACTGATTATGCAGTTTTCTTCTCACGTTGGTTTCCATAATTAGCATAAAGTTTGAATTTTCACCAGTTTAGAGTTCTGATTTCATGTTCATTTTGATATCCCTTGGGCTACTTGGAGTACTGAGTTTTACTAGTACATCTCTGCAAATTCAAAGGTGTTCACAAGACAGCCATCAAGCTTGCCCACTGAAACAGCAAAGACACTTCTGTATTTTTCAGGAGCTGCTTCTTAGAGCTGGCGTTCAATTACAGAAAGAAGACTAGGGGCTGAGCAGTGTTCCTTGTCACTGGGAGTTGCCTTCTGTGGTCTTGATGAAATCTGGGTTTATTCAGAGGATTAAATAGACTGGATTAAGTGATCCTTATTTTCCTTCTGAACCAACCTCCAGCCAGTAATATTCATTTTGGTACTTATGCCATATGAGGTATTTACATGACAACTTTGCTGTTAGCTCTCATTCTATTCTGGAGATAACTGCTGGGAGCTTATGGGTCACCTTTGTTTGTTCTGTATCAGTGTCACCTCCAAATGCTCCTCATGAATTTCATAGAATCATAGAATGGCATAGGCTGGAAGGGACCTTAGAGGTCGTCTCGTCCAACCTCCCTGTCATGGGCAGGGACGCCACCTCTCAACTAGACCAGGCAACACATGGGGATCGAGCGGGAATCGAACCCGCGACCTGGGTGTTGTCATTGTTGCCAGCACCGCGCTCAAACCACTGAGCTAACCGGCCCCCTAATTTCACCAGAAATGGGAAAGTACTGTCTTGTGCTGCAACAGCACAAGCACATTTTTGGTTCCATTTATATCTAACTTCTATTTTTAATAGAAATCATGTGGCAGGACACTTTTACCTCTGGAGAATAAGGAAGAAAAAGTTCTAAATTTAATTGTATGGAAATTAGTTGAATTATCTGAGCTTAATTAAATCAGTAGCAAAAGTAGATTTGGGTTGATCTTACTGCATTTCCTAGCTTTTTCTTCTTGCTCCTTTCTAAATTTTTGAACAAAACATTTGAGAACACCCCGATTCTTATTTTTTATAAGCAGCTCTTCTGAATACTGGTTTATCTGTTTGAAACATTCAAAAAAGAGATTCTGAGGTGCTGAAGGAATCAACAAACTTGTAGGAGTACTGTTTCCTCTCAGTTTAGGAGCAGT